CACACACATATAGGCATTGCCAGACGAGCGATATGACAGGTGCTAATCACATGCATTATTGCTATCATATTACGTAATTATTGTTGTCCATTATGATTAAAACAGAGACTGGCAATGTAATTAAATATATTTTTTTTGTGTTCCCATCCTCTGCTGCTGAAACACAGTGCAAGCGTCGAGGCATAGACGCCTCTAACTCGGTTGTCAAGACACGACCTTTCTCAGATCGCCGACGTTTCCATGCTTGCAAAGCATTATTTACGAAAGCGACACGACTGCGAGTTTGCTTTTTCCGTATGCACTTTGACACGGCCGCCCATTGCTGTCATTTGGGATGAGGTCTGGAAATCTGGGTAGATGTAACAGAACCATAATGTCACTTTATTCACGAGACCAATCCTAGACAATGCGACTGGTGTTGATGGGGCTGTTGTCCTGAACAAGATAGAAGGGCTTAGTTTGAGGAAACACCTTATCCCTAACTGCTGGGAGGAAAACTTTAAGGATTTCTAAATATCTGGTGCCAGTAAAACAGAAAGGCCTACATCCTTCAACCGCCCGACACCCCTTGCACGCTCACATCCAAACGACACTGCGGTCACTCCTGCTCGCGATCGCATTCTCCGATTTATTATTATTTTTTTAATGATAAGACTGCACTGTATACAGAAATATATAAATAAATGTTTTAGCGTTCACTTCTTTTCAAACAACACTTTCTCGACAAAATAACGAGCGAAAGGAAGTTGAAAATAGGAGGGGAGGGGCTGGTGTCGTTGCCTACTTGGTGTTTTGTTGACACCATACATATCTCGCCGTGTTGGTGCCTTTAAAAGAATAGGTTTTCTTGCCGCAGTTTGCTTTTTCCCTCAAGGCTTATCTGCATATCGCATGGCTTATTTCATCCTTTACGGGAATAAAATCATTTCGCAGTAAATCCACATGAATTCCGGAACGACTGTTCGAGACATTATTAATCAGAACAAGACAAATTCGAACCCCAAATACCAACCCTTCTGTAACATGAGGTTCTGTTCGTTATTGAATGTTTCGACACCCATTCTAACAAGAGGTTTTGTGTAGTTGTAAATATATATGTATTTATATCATATATGTATATGCATGTACACACACACACACACACACACACACACACACACACACACACACACACACATAGGCCTATATATATGTGTGTGTGTGTGTGTGTGTGCAGTATATATGCATATATTTTTGCACACACACACACACACACACACACACACACAACACACACACACACACACACACACACACACACATATATATATATATATATATATATATATATATATATATATATATATATATATATATGTATGTATGTATGTATATACACGCGCACACACACCACACACATATACACACATGTACATGTATATACATGTATATATACATACATATATATTTTATATATTTATATGTGCAGAACATATATATGCATACATATACATATATATTCTTATATATGTGTATGTACAGCACACACACATATATATGTTTGTATATATAATATACATTATTATATATGTGCATATGTGAATATATGTATGTGTGTGTGCGTGCGTGCGTGTATGTATGTGTGTGTGTGTGTGTGTGTGTGTGTGTGTGTGTGTGTGTGTGTGTGCGTGCGCGTACGCGTGCGCACGGTCTCATGGATATGTGTATTCTAGAATAATTTCAAACGTACGTTATTGCTGTTGCTGGATCGATTTGACCCTCCCGCGCTTTGTTTTGAATGGGCCGGCGGGTTAACCGAATATTGTGCAGGGGGCGGGGTGCATGAGGTATGCTTGTGCTTGGGGGAGGAAGGTGGGTGGTGCGTATGCCAAAGTTTATCGGACGGTGATTTTATAATCTAGTATTTATCTATATGTCTGCCTATCTCTTTATATACTTATGTATATTTGTTTACTATGTATGTGTGTGTATACCTACGATGTATGTAGGTGTATATATATCGCATATATGCTGTTTATGACTATATCCTAGTGACGCTCATTCAAAATTTTGCATGCAGCATCTTTTAGTTTCGATCACAACAACTAGTGTTTACAATACTTCTGTGTTTTCGTAAAACATTAAATAAAATTGGGATGTAAATACACCTTTCGCTTGTGCAATTCAACAGTTGTTCTCATATTAAAATTCAGCCACTGGAAAGCTTTGGAAGAGCTATAGACTCGCTACAATCTTTCCAAATAATCGCTGCATTTTGAAAACGCTTGTGAAGCGCAGACCGAGAACATTCGGCGATACGCGCATTATTACTGAAGTGTAAAGACAAAATCTCTTCCAGAAGTATCATATACACTTGTACTGTTATGTTATTACTCTTTATAACGAGATGATATATTTAATCTGTATGGAATATAAAAGCAAAACAGACGAATCACAGATATATCCTTGGAAACGGGCGATACGCAGTGTTGCGCATCTCGCGTGTCAGCTGCCTCCGAGA